CGGCAGCGGGGACGCCATGTCCGGAGCGTGGCGTCATCACCGCTGTGTCCGGAGCGTGGCGTCATCACCGCCGTGTCCGGAGCGTAGCGTCATCAACCGCCGTGTCCGGAGCGTGACGCCATCACCGCCCTGTCCGCAGAGCGCCGACGAAGAGTCCCAGGCGAGCAGCGATGTGACCATCACGGCCGTGCCCTCTGCCGACTCCGGCGGCAGCCAGTCGGCGGCGCCGGCGGCGGCCGGCCCCGCGGCCACCGAGCCCAGCTTCACGCGGGTGGACCGCAAGCGGTGCGTGCGTTTGGTGGTGTGCCACATGTGCGGCGCCGGCGGCTTCGGCACCTGGCTCCTGCTGCACCAGCACATGCAGCACTACCACCACGAGCGCAGCGTGCTCTTCTCCAAGGCCGCCTTCAACCCTGGCTCGTTCAATCGTGTGCGCCGTGTGTCCACTGGTGACGGCGTCGTCCGCCGAGAGCGTGCGCCACGTGCTGCGCGCGCACCAGGGCGTGTGCGGCCGGCTGACGGCCGGCGCCGCCCACCTGCGCTGCCACGTCTGCAAGAGCGTTGTCGGCCACCTGGGCGACTCGTGCGCGCAGCACAACGCCTCGTGCCGCCGCCCGAACGGCGGGGCGCCCAGCTACACGTGCGTGCCGTGCGAGGCGGAGCTGCGCAACCTGGAGGACGTGTACCACCACGTGGATGAGCACGGCGGCGGCCGCAAGGGCTACAAGGCGCGCTGCCAGCTGTGCCCATTCAGCAGCGACTACGGCTCGTGCCGACGCCACGTGCGCGTGGCGCACAGGGACCGCTGTTTCCTGCTGGGCTGCGCGATGTGTCCGGACTACGGCACTGACAACTGGACCAGCGCCGAGCGGCACGTGTTCTTGCATCACCGCAGCGACACGCAGCCGGAGCTGATGCGCTGCGCCGTCTGCCTGCTGCGCCTGGCGGGCGGCACGCGACGCATGAGCCAGCACATGCGCATGCACCACGCCAACAAGGCGGTGATGACGCCACCACGCCGCTTACCCGTGCCACCGCCGGGCTTCGCGCGGGCGTCCAGCCGGCCGGCGGAGAAGGCGGCGGACGACTGTGACGAGCGGCTAGCTGACGCCGATGCCGACGCCGACGCCGACGCCGACGCCGAAGAGCCGACCGAGAACGAAGGCGAGCCGGCCGAGGACGCGGAGGATGTGAAGCCGCCGGCCGCGTGGGGCGAGCCCGAGCCGCCGGCGGCCGACTGGAGCCCCGCGCCCTCGCCAGACGGCTCCTGGGCTGGCGGCCAGTCGCCCCCGGCCTCGCCCAAGGCTGACCGCAAGCTGGCCATGGGCGTGCGGGTGCTGCTGCGCCGCATGGAGCTAATGGACTTCCTGCCGCTCTGACGGCCGCTCCACCCCGCGTCATTCTCGCGCCACGGGCCCGCTGGCTGCAGTGCCTTGCCGTGCGACACATTCCTGACGCCGCTGTAACAGGCTCGTATTGGTACGCAGTGTCTGCTGCCGTGAGTGCAAAAGTGCGTTTTCGGTCAATTCGGTGCTGTTTGCGGATTTGCCGTAGTTATTGGTGACGTGGCTGTTTGTACAGTGCGTTGTGCTAGCCTCTTCCCATAACGAACTGGGTGTCCGAAGAGTTTGTGAAGTGACTGGCCGGCATTTTTGCAGTGTTCTCGTGTTATGAGGAAGCCATGAGTTGCCATAGACCGTGTAATGTGTGTGAAAGTATCAAGAAGACGTGGTTCCGTAGTTGGTGTGTCTCCTGTGGTTTTTGTGGGCGCGGCATCATGTTATTGGTCTCCATCTCATCTCCTGTTTTACGATCACCCATTTCATTTTTCCTTGGACACAAGTGTTGGGCTGGAGGGTCAGTGTCACGTTTGTGTGCGCCTCATCACATGACAATGATCTCGGAATACAATCAAATGCAAACCAGGTTCTTGCTGCACCGTACACCCTTTGGGCACGTGCGAGCTTTCGGAGCTTTGGACCTTGAGTCGTGAATAGAACTAGTGGCGGCCCGGAAAGTAATAATGTATGCTTGTTGAGGTTGAGTTTGACGCACGATCAGTGGGACCCCGGTTGGAACAGCCATCTTGCACGTCAGGAGTCTGGCGGTTTCATCTCGTGGTTGTAGGCTGTATGTCTTTACTCTGATGTCTCGTGGTCGCAGACTGTAGGTCTTCGTTATCGTGTGCAGACGGGTGCACGATTGGCCGGTTAAATGCGACGCGTTCGGAAGACTATTTGACCTCGTATTCTAAAAACTAAGAGGGATGGGGACACCAAATTTACAGGGCATGAATGTCTGTATGCTAACTTGCTTGTGTCAAACTTGGAGATCATTAAGTCAAGACCATCAAGTCAAGTGAAGTCAAACAAGGTCAAACTCCAAATCGGTATCCGAAATGTCTCCAGACCTTCCCGCGCAACCGCCTTTAGCCTTTTACCCTAAATACATGTCCTAAGCAAAAAGTCGCCGGTGTTAGTCTCAGGTCAGCCACCTTATGTGATTATTGGAAGGTCACGTTGGCAAAAAACCTATGAGATTGTTTTGATGTATGGATTGACGATCAGCACGAGGGGTTACGTTGGGTGATATGCTTCTAAAACAAAAAGGTTCGGGGTCATTTAAGGCTAGTGACCTCCCCGATCTTAAAAGTACCAATAAAATATGCATGTTGACATCCCTGTGACTGAGACTTACGACCTCTGCCTTGCCTTCATACTTGACCCAAGGTCAGTGAAATAAGTCGTATTCCTGAATCACATTGGCTCATTGTCTAAGAAACTTTTCGAGATGCGTGGCATCCTCTAGCACTCTGTTATCTCTCGATGTCGCATCAGATTGAGCGATTATCCAGGAACTTTACCTCCCTTGACAGCCATGACCTGGCTTTGTCCCACCATACGTCAGCACCCTTACAAATTGCATCTAATTTCTCACACCAAAACATTTGTATTCTTTGCATACAGCTAGGCGACATTTGGCGTGCGTGCGCAGCACCGGTTGAAAATTATTCTGGAAAAAATATTCGGGTGGAAGGGATCAAGTTACCGCCACCCCACCCGAACGCTAACGCACGACAAACATCAGTTTTTTTCTTCTTCTAGATCCGCGCCATGACTTAAACGACGTCATGCCAGAGGCTTGCGACACAGTAGCGTTGCCGCAGTTTCTAAGACGCGTTTGGGTGGAGCATAAGTGCATATGCACTTGATTTTAAAACGTTTCGGCCGGCTGGCTGCTGAAGGCCAAACGCTAGTCAGGACTTGATGCGCTCCCTATTTATCTCCATCAAGGTGAAGCCAGGATTGGCACCTGGGGACCAGCCAACGGTCTGGTTGATCAAAACTTGCACTGACTGAACACCAGCCGAATGTTTTGGGCTCCAGGCCGTCAAAACTATGAAATTGTCAAGAGTTTGCAAGGTTTCAAGACCTCACATAGGTGATTTCTGCTGGAGACGAGAGTGGAGCCGGCAAACTATGTATCTCGATGTAATCTAAGCACCATAACCACATGGAGACCAAACATGGCAGCGGCGGAATAATAGGCCTGCTTGCTGTATACCACCCAGTGACGTCATATTCCAATTGACGCTGATCCATCGAGCCTATTCCAAACGCGGTTTCATTACCTTGACCTCTCCGCATAATCGCGTTCATCGCGCTGTTGTGTTATTGCGCATGTATGGGGAGGGGGGTGCTCGTGTGTGGTGCGGTTTGTGGGGCGCCGTGGGCGGTTCTCGGTCGTTGGGTTTGTTGGGTACACAAGTATCAAAAAGGATTACCTGCGTAGATCACCTAATTATTTTCTCTGATCAGAGCAGCAGTAACGCTGGGAGTAATGCAACCTCCCATTGCATGAGCTCGGACCCACATCGGTAGTGGGGGGGCTGTATCGTATTTTGTACTGTACTGCTCAACCAGGTGCCAAGGCATGTTGAATGCTGATGATGTTGCCAATTTTCTGATGCCTTCATTGGCTATATATGCCAGCCATGGCTGTGTACGCTTTTTTGCAACCTGTCCTTTTTCCATGCGTTGGGTCCAGTACCAACTGTCATGTGGGTGAATTCTGGCATACATATATACACTGTGTCATTTAACAATGTTGAGCCTTTTGAGATACCTATGCCACCTTGTCTTCTCAGTTCAGCTCCATTCTAGTCTGCCTGACTGGTTACATCCTCACAGTATACAGCCGACTAACAACACCATGAGTAGGAAATGAACCCTGGTTACTGAATTGCTGCATAATGAATTGCTGTACATGTCTACTTTTGATTTTGTGTGTGTGTCATTAGATGACATCATTACCTTAGTGTTAATCAACATGCTTTTCATGATATTAGATCAGAAAGTGTTCAATTTTTGGTCATGTCCAACAAGATGTTTGCATCCCACAGGCTACTCCTAGACTTTGTTAGTCTGTAACAAGACTGGAAAACTTGGACCACAAGCTACTGCCAAATACTTTAAGTGAAGTTTTCCAGCTCAGCAATGCTCCACAGGCTAACCAACTAGATGTTTGTGAGGAAGACTGCTTGTTGCATTGTTTGAGCATTTTTGGTAAGTTGAGCATTGGCTAGTTTGTTACTTATCCTTTCACTTGATTGTTGGTGCTTGGACTGTGATTTATCTTGCAGGCCAGCATTTCCAATCTCCCACATTGGGTTATATTTATGAAGTATACCAGAAGCACCAACATGTGATGTAACACAATCTCCCAGCCATGTATTGACTCAAAATTTCATGATGGGATGGGAGTCAGGTCATCTAACGAGTACTGCTTAGCATCATTCCTAATCCCAGAAATGGATCTAATAAGAATTCAGCCTAGATTTTAGGAACCCTGACATGAACATGAGTTGCACTGTCAGACTGGCCTGTTGATGCTCTGTGTCCCCTTCTTCCCCCAGTGTGCAGTTACCTTTCCAGTGCTGGAATGAGCATACCATACCTTTTGCTTATGTACCCTTACCATTAGTGTGAGGTGCCACTGTAATGTCAATTGCATCAGCTAAGATCCTGCCCAGCCCCATTGCATGTGAGCATGTGTATCACCTGCCTGCCCTGCCTTTGCAGCAGCTGCTGCGTGGCCGTCGGCCCACCCACGGTGACGGCCGCCAACGACGACAAAGTCCGATGGTCGCCCGCCCTGGCGGCGGCCGGCGGCAGCGCTACATGCCCAGCCGGCTGGGGCCGCCGGCTGGGTGTGGCTGCACTCCTCCTGCTGCTGGCTGCCACCCTGCTGCTCTACCGGCTCTGCTATGCCACGGCTGGCGCCACCGTCTGCGCGCCCAACAGTGCCGCCGGCCGCCTCCGGTTCCCGCACACGCAGCGTCGGCTGCCGGCCGCCATCATCATCGGCGTGCGCAAGGGTGGCACGCGCGCCCTGCTCGAGATGATCAACATTCACCCACAGGTGAGGGCATCACGGAGAGCTGGCGTATTTGCAACACTGGCTGCAGGTGTGCGATGGGCCACTGCCCCGCCCGACGACCAATGACGTCCTTCCTAATGCAGGCAATGCTTCAAGAGTGTTTGGAACAATAATTGGTTCAATTGCATGATCCTGTGTTTGCTACATTCTGAAGTACTTTGTGCATTGCTTTCTGCTCAGCTGTTCCTAGCATCCTTCATCACATCCTTTGTCTACTTAATTGTTCTGGGTAACCACCGCAGACATGCTTTGAAAATATGCGGGAGTGTTCATTTCACCATCATCCATCAAGGCTCTGATGGATGATGGTGAAATGTGACGGGGCCCAATTTCACCAACATTCTCTGTTAACCACTGTTTGGGCCGCGCCAAGTAGTCTCCCTGTCATCAGAGCTTATCACCACCCCCACCCCCCCACCCCCTCCCATTGTGTCAGCAGCCGTGCGTGCCTGTCTGCGTGCTGCGTCTGACGCCGCGCTCGACCTGATGCCGGCAGGTGATGCGCGCCTCGCGTGAGGTGCACTTCTTCGACCGGGACGAGAACTACCGGCGCGGCCTAGAGTGGTACCGCAAGCGCATGCCCTTCTCCTTCGACGACCAGGTCACCGTGGAGAAGTCGCCCAGCTACTTCGTGACGCCCACCGTGCCCGGCCGGGTGAGCACTCTCCGTCCGCGCGCCGCCCTGCTGAGCTGCGACACAGTAGCCGCGGCCGGCCGGCCGGCGCCGTGGGCCGCCGGGAGAGCTGCGAGGGCAGGAGGTGCCCGCTGTTAGTCAGACCCTCGGTCATCGGTCCCGCGCCGACAGCCGGTGGCACGTGTCGCTCTCACAGATAGCGTGACTGATTGCCGACTGTCCGGTTGTCGCCGCGCCCACCTCGCAACGGCGGGGTTCGATTCCCCGCGGTGTCCGCTCGTCGTGCCAGGGGAGAGGCAACCGACGCCATATAGCCTCAGCACATGAGCGCGTCGTAAAGCCCCAATGACAGACATACCTCACTACACAACAGCTGTATACATTGGGCGCGCCCCAGATAAACAGTGGCATTCGGCGGTCATGGTCGCCTGCAAACACAGGACGCCGATCCTGACATCTGATGAATGAGTGCGGGGGACATTTGTTTACGACGGTGGCATTTAAATGATTGGTGCAACATTGCGATGCTCCTCGTTACTTTCGGCTGACAGTTTGATTGCCCGGTGTTTGCACAGCCTGACCGCCCACTTGGGCTGTAGAAACACCATTTTATAAAACCCGCAGACGGGCTGTCTGGAAGCTCGGAGGACTCTGGGGGGCGAGAAACTGTGTTTTTTCACTTCCCAATTATATAGGAGTTGCGCCCAACCGTTGGCCTACTGATACTCCGTTCGTTGTCCGGACTCAGGTTGGAGTGGTGCCGCACAGGCCTCCGTCGCATCTTATCAGATGGTCGGCCATGCTTATCTTGAAGGCACGAGGTTGAAGTCAACTGTCAGATGTATAGCAGACCTGGTGACAATGGTGGCCGACCACACATTGACCCGCCCGAGCCTGTTCTGCTGTGTGAGCTGACAGAAGCGCGGACCGCACGCCGCGCCTCGCTGCGCCGGCGTTGACGCGGCGATTTACATGACGAGCCGCACGTCCCGGCGGCTGGGGACGCCTGGGTTCCGGGCCCGGCCGGTGTTGTGGCTGCTGTCGCGTGTTCCGTCGCTCGGACGCTGAGCCCCCCCCCCCCCCCCCCCGTCCCCGGCCGTGGGCCAGGTGTCGCCGTGGCACATGTATGGGGTGCCACCCCCCGGGTCAGCGCGCGGCTGTTTGATCCCTCGCCTTCCCTACCCCAGCTGTAGGTCAGGTATCGCCGTGGCACAGGTGTGGGATGTCCCCGTCGGGTCAGCACATGGCCGGTGGGTCCCACCAGGGCTGGCTGCGTTGGCTGGCGGCCACGGCTCGTCTCGTCCTTGGAAACAATGCCAGTGGTGTGGATTTAGGCGGAGTGGCTCCAGGCGGCGAGAGCGGGATTTGATTCGAGTGGAAGCTCTTTCGTGAGACAAATTTCGAGGATGTTTAAGTTTGTATATACTTTTCTATTGCAATGCGGTAGCCAGGATGCTAAATGTGGGAAAGTTTAAGGGCTCAGGGATTCGAGATCAACGACATCATCATAGAGAGAAACGCCGCCACCGACGGCACTGTCCTTTTCAAGTTACAATTATTTTCTGTCATAAATTGCCAGTGAAGCGGATCTGCATATATGATCATCTACGGCAATATAAGAAAAAAATACGCCGAATGGCATGAGGGCAGTGGGCGGCAGTATTTTAGTTTATAGCCGTTTTATTGAGCCATGAAGTGTACGTGGAGTTTATTGCAGCGTTAATGCGTATGTGCGCCGGTGCTGGGTGTTTCGGATGAGTCCGTCCGTATCATTGACGCCCCTGTCAGCTGTCCGTCTGTGTCACTGACGCTCTTGTCGGCTGTTGGTCCGTGTCACTGACGCCTATGAGGGCTATCGGTCCGTGTCACTGCCCCCCCCCCCCCCCCCGTCTTCTGTCGGTCTGTGTCACTGACGCCGTTTTCGGCTGTTGGTCCGAATCACTGACGCCTGTGCTGGCTTTCGGTCCACGTCATGGAAGTCCTCATCTGTCATTTGTCCATGCTACCGATGCCCCTGTCGACCGTCGGCCCGTTTCACTGACGCCCTCGTCGGCTGTCGGTCCTCGTCACTGACGCTTCTGTCGGCCGGTGGCAGGTGTACCAGATGAATCCGTCCGTCCGTCTGATCGTGGTGGTACGGGAGCCGGTGACTCGACTGATATCAGACTACACTCAGTACCTGGAGAAGTGGGCGGTCGAACGCAGGCCGATACGGTCGCTCGCCGAGATGGTGCTCCGGCCGGACGGTTCGGTGCGCGCCGAGTCCAAGCTGGTCAAGGCGTCGCTGTACCAGCGCCATCTGAAACGCTGGCTGGAGTACTTCCCGCGCGCGGCGCTGCTCGTGGTGGACGGTGACCGGCTGATCTCGGACCCGCTGCCGGAGGTGCGCCGCGTCGAGAGCCACCTCCACCTTCAGCCATACATCAGGCAGCGGCACTTCTACTTCAACAGCACCAAGGGCTTCTACTGCATCACCGCCGATGCCGGCGTGCAGGGCAAGTGCCTGTCAGCGTCCAAGGGCCGCAAGCACCCGGACGCCGAGCCGGCGCTGCTCGACGCGCTCTACCGCTTCTTCGCGCCGCACAACCGCAAGTTCTTCCGGCTGATGCGGCGCAACTTTTCCTGGCCGATCGGCGACTGACACCTGCGGACGGAATGCCGCGGCGCGTTTTACCTGATTTTCCGCGTGGCAGCGAATCGGAGGGCTCTGGCGGGGCGTGTTCTAGCGTTCTTAGCTGAGCTGTGTGGTGGTGTGAGTACAGACAGGGGTATCTCTGGTAATCCTATGCCGTTGTTGGCAAAACACGCAATCGCGCTTTTGTATTGCATTTTGAACGTCTCTAGTGCACTGCCGAAAATGTGTGGGGTCTGAGCGTTAGTCAGAACTGTAACTGTACAACAGATAAGTACCTAAGTGGATTTTATGTATTGTGCTAGTCTGCATTATTGGCTGACACATAAGGTTAACTTGCTTACATAACACGACCAGAGCCGTGGTCTGTGGCACTACCGTATTGGAGCCTTTGTTTTGATGAGCTAATGGCTAATGGCGTTGTGGTCGGTACCTCGCTAACGTTGTATTAGTTACCCTTGCCCGTCAGTACAATTTAAGCCTCGGCAACCGCAGATCTTGCTCTATGATACCACCATATTGCAGATCATGTGTGTTTTCCAGCCCCTCTGAACTTGTTCCAGACAACAGGCCTGACTCGAGGCATGCCCTTGCAAAAAAAGTTGATGCACGATGTCCTATACTTTGCACGTGTTTGTCTAGCCATGTCTCGACACATTCACGTTAGTCGTGGTTGGTTATGCCTGGGTGCTGATCAGAACCCTGAACAAAGTCTTGCTCACAAGGATGTTCCGTTGGATATTATGTGCAGGTGCTTGGTGTTGGGTATCCTATCTGTGCTCGCAGAACGACGTGAATGGTTTTCCGCTCTGATGACGTCAGCTGCACTGTTGTGACTGAGTTTTGCGATGCCCGGTATGTGAAGCTTGATTTGGCCGAGGAGAGTTGTGGCAAGTTCAAAGCGCAATGTTAGTCAGGTTTCTTGTAGTACTGCCTGGTGGCGTGAGGTCTCCTGGCAGGCGCGTTGTGTTGCCGTTCACCTGTGAGCAGGTATTTCGTCGAAGTTTGTCCGCCGCTATTTGTGTGTTGTGCATGGTCCCGCCGAAGAAGCCTCTGCAAGCACAATCCCTAGCATGTTGTTGAGATGATTCCTTTAGACCGCATACGAAACCGGATGAGAGGTGCACCGTTGCGGCGTTCGGTTCACTGCTGTCCCGCGGTATCACATATCATGCTGCGTGGTAACTCGAATGCCCACCACTTGCCGCCGTGGTTCGCTTCCGCCGTCGTTCAGATAGCGTCCGCCATCAATCTTGCGCGTGTCGCCTGGGGCGGGCTTGATGCCCCGTCCCACCCCCTCCTCCGCCTCCCCCACCGGTCGAGCGGCGCTGCTGAGGGCGCGGGGCGCGCACGCTGTTCGTGTGGCATGTGTGGCGCCGGCCTGAAGGGCGATTGATATCGCTTTTTAACGCCCATTGTCGCGGTGTCACGCACCTTCTCTCTCCTATGGAGAGCAGCATTTCCCGTCTGCGAAGGGTCCGTTTTAGGGCGATTGCCCGGCGTCCGTCGGCCTTACAGTGACGCGCGTCCGAGTGCCGCGGCAGCGCCCGTGGGTCGGGTCTCGGATCGTAACACCGTTTTGGGGCGATTGCCCGGCGTCCGGCGGCCTTAAAGTGACGCACGTCCGAGTGCCGCGGCAGCGCCCGTGGGTCGGGTCTCGGATCGTAACACCTTTTTGGGGCGATTGCCCGGCGTCCGGCGGCCTTAAAGTGACGCACGTCCGAGTGCCGCGGCAGCGCCCGTGGGTCGGGTCTCGGATCGTAACAGCAGCTGTCGCCATTCCCGTGTCTTTTTTGTACTCATTTGGTAGCTGGATGATGTGGCGTGGTATTGGCTGGGTGATCAGTCAGCTGATCGTTCTTGTCGGCTGCTCGGGTGTCCAGGTGAAGCAGGTAGCATTTTGTATTGTGTTGGGCTTAATTGACGTTGCATTTGTGAGGTGCTTTTCATTACATTAAACATTGCCTGCCACTAAGCAATCGTAATGAGTTTGGTGTTCGGGTGCCAAATACACAGTTTCATAGAGCTACGGTACAAGTGTTTACTTTGGGGATGTTTGGCGACGACTGTCTGGTTAGACACTCATGCCAAGTGATGACGTCTCTCGTGGATTGTTGTTCTGACCGGCTGCTACGAGCGGCGGCAGCAGATAACAGGAATGGGTCCTTCTACGCTGATGGTACATGTGACCATAGGCGTAGGAACGTTTCAAAAGGTGGGGGGCCACGCTCGCGGTGTACTTCAGGAACTTTTTTTGGAAAGCGAGCCCAATGACTGAGGGGGGGGGGGGGGTTAGGAATGAAGGTTGTTATCACTATTCAAATGTCATGGCCGCTATGCTAGATTTGCATTTAGAGCTGCTTCTCACTGGCGCACAGTCTTGCCTATTCGACGCATCTGTCATTTGGCAAATAAGGCTATCCAGCTTCTCAAGATTATTCGTCAATTCTAACATTGTCTTTCCTGGGGAGGCGAAATTCCACGAGCGGGTAGGCATTTCGGGTCATTGAGGAAGCACCTGTCTCCACAGCGTAGATGCCAAAATACGGCATGGATATAGGCTGGTAATAATTTTGAAAGGGGATCGATGGTTCACAGTGCGACAGATCTTCCACGCGCCTTCATCTCGCTGGCTGCTTTTCAAGAGAGAAGACTTGTCGCAGCATTTTAGGCGGAAACAGATTCGGAGCTCGAAACTGCCAGAAAGGAGGTGACAAAAGCCATAAAGCTTTTGATTTTCATGTCATAAAAAACCAAGCCACATAATAAGGCCCATCTGTCACATGTTCCTTATTTGGGCCCTGCTCCTGTCCGCCGTTGGTGGCCACGGCCCTGGCCCGGATGTCTCCCGCATGACTGACTGCGAACTGATCGTATGGCTGCTTTGTTGCATACTTTGTATCAGCGTTACTACTACATGGTATATGAAATATGCGTTGGACAGCTGCAATAGTGTCTTTTTCCGAATTATCTTCCCTTACACCACACCATCACAGAAAAATGGCCCCCGGGAAGCTGTCTGCCTGAGGTATGAATTGGCGCAACGGATGCTTCGTTGCCCATCATGCAACGCATACGACTTGATCTGCCTTTGCGTGTCGGCGGGGCGTAACCAGAGCCTTGCCAAGGTGGAACACAAGGTTGACAAAAGCCTATCTTGTGGTGATCCCCAACAGTCCCCGGATATAGCCTACTTGTTAACAAGTGACACGGTTTTCTTCGTTTTATTGTTATTTTTTCTTGCAACCAGAACAGAAACCAGGAGCTACCGTGAGCTCAATTCTGTTTGCGTTTTGAGGTCAACAAACTGCAAAAATCAGGCGTTGAACGGCTACATGGAATAAATCACCGGTGCTCTTAATTTACAATTGTTAGTTAACTCTTTCTAAACGGATAGAGAACAGAAGCTTCGTCAGAATTCGTTATCTCGGTTCTGCTGACTTTGAGGACATGGCGAAGGTAGATTGTGGACCGATATGTTTGATCCAAATTTGAAGATGAAAATTTTATCGCAGACCGGGTGGTCAACAATGTGTATTACCATGGCTAAGCCATGTTTGTCTGAAAATGTCCGCCATTCAGTCAGAATCGATCAGTGATGCAATTTATGTAACGTGTTTTTTAACATGCGTGTTCGCAAGTCTTCGCAATAAAAACATCGACACCAGGCGTTGCAGTCTCCACGGTCAGCCGAGGGCCAGCCAGGGCCAGCCAGCCTAGTTGCTTTTAGTTGCGGCCCACCGGTGGACGAAAATGATGACGCTTTTGAGATTGTCACCTTGAAACACTCTAGTAATACAAGTTACTAGTAATACAAGGACTAGTAATACAAGTTATGTAGTGTAATTTTGAGCATGCGCACTAGACAATCTTAGACACAAGTCTCGACCCCAGGCGTTGCATTCTCCATAGCCCGCGCAGCGTCGGCCTAACAGCTAATACTAAGTTGTGGCCAACTGGTGGGGGAAAATGACGACGCTTCTGAAAAAAGTACGCCTGAGCGCCTCATGACATCAGACCTTACATTTAGAAGGTAGCCTGAGGGCATATTTCACGTGTGCAGTTTTGAGACAGATGAAAACAACGGATTGGCCCTTAAAGGCACCGCGAAGTGGGACTGGAATCTGGTGGTTAAACTGGAAGAGTAAAGGTAGAATCTATATTTTTTGTGTTCTTGCAGCTATTCATATACCCATGAGACAGGTTGACACGGCGCCCGCTGTCTGGTGGCACTTGCAGTGACCGAAACTTTTCGGTTCTGTGGAAGCTGCAGCCCAGACCATTTTTGTCCTTGCTCTCGAGGCTGCGGGCGGGCAGGTTCAAGCCTTTTGATGCAATTTGCTTCAGCAATACATTCTGAAAAAATGAACGTTCCCAGGCAACATGGCATGACCTTACTCGTTTTTTAGGCTCATTTCGACCCACCCTATTCAACAATAATGAGACCCCCATTTACTCAACAATAATGAGACCCCTTATTTCCTTCCGGGCAATGGGCCTCCTGAGTAGAACACCAGGGGTACATACCGCTTCCGGCCAAGGGCTGAAGGGCTATTCCGCCCCATCGCGAAGTGTCTTCTGGATATCTTTCTGGTGGCACAGGGCGAGATCTCCTAGTCGATCCAGAGGCCATTAGAAGGATAAATCATCACGTTGTTCCCATCCCTGACACGGGACGCCTTCTGACCCGCGCAGTCAGCCCCGGATCAGCACAGGAACGCTTATTGACGCAACAACATCCCTGATCACTGCAGGTAGTCCAATAATTGTCACATAGACTCCAGTTCCGTGTTTTTCTGTGTTCTTCAAGGATAATGAGTTCCCCCGGGCCTTAGATTGTAGCTGAAATGGGGTTCCTAATTCGTATTAATACTGCTAACCCGTGCTCGTCTTAAAATGCTAAAGATCCTTTCAGAACTGATTACTGATACAAAACTACGTAATATGATCTTGAACATGCGCGTTCACAAATCATAGCAGCAGCCCCGACACCCGGCGTTGTAGTCTCCGGGCCATGCGGCGTTGGCCTTGCGGCTGCAACACTAAGTGATGGCCAATGAGTAAATGAAAAAAGATGACGCATTTTAAGGGAAATGGCTGGTGAACTAGGTATATCGGCACGCGTGTTAAATGTAGTGCACAAGTAAACCAAATGCAACCTTTATCTGAAAAGTGTGGAGGGGGGGGGGCAGTTAACATTTCTGCCACCCCCCCCCCCCTCCTGAAAAGTGGGGCGCATGGCTCCCTGCCCCCCCCCCCCCTGTTCCTGCGCCCATGCATGTGACACTTGTACCATCAGCATAGCAGGATCCACTCAAGAGAGATTCAGTGGGAAGGTATTTCACTTCCATTACTTTACTTTACACTTCTCCGGTCCCCCGGAGGGCGTTAATGAAGGAGCGTTCGCACCCATGCTCGAGATGAATGGCTTGACACCTTGCTCTGAGTATGCGCTGGAGGCTCTGGGCTACCGATCCCCCGTATGTGGCACGCAAACCATAGCCTTTCTCCGAAACCCATGCACCGTCCTGAAGCATGCGAATTGCATACGCGTTGCTCGTCGTTGGCCACGCGTTCGTGACCGGTGTTTGTCCTGGGGCCAGGTCATAAGTGCAGCTTTTTTGCACCACTGCTCCAAATCCCTTATCCTGGCCCAAAACCCCGCTAGCCATTGTCAGATACCGCCCGCTTTTAGAAGATCTCCGCCAAAGAGTTCACTTCGTCATACCATTATCCCCCATCACACGTTGCAGATAATCGTTCTCGCGCGTTGCGGAAAACGCTGATGCGCCGTTCCGGACAGTGGTTCATTGTAAACTATCATCGACATTTACCACATTGCAGCAATTTATTGTATTTTTTGTTCTTTTTTAAAATTATACCTAAATTTTGGGGGTACTTCGTTCATATGTATGCAAACTATGATTGCACTCTTATTTACAATTTGTATAATGTTCTTGAAAATGTTTGCAGACACGTCAATTATAGACAAGCCTGGCGCACCTGACAACTGGCTCATAAAATCCTTTCACTTTCCGTGACAACTGTAGGCGACCATCTGCTATTTGGTTTCGCTCTTAAAAATACCGGCAAAATGAGGAAGTCCGTGCTTGCGAGTGTGTTGGTTTTCTTTCTTTATGTGCATAACACAAATGGCCTGTACTTTCACATAGCTGAAACGGAACGAAAATGTTTCATCGAGGAAATTCCCGACGAAACAATGATAACTGGTAAGCACGAATAGAAGTTCTGGGACATGCTGCAACAATATGTCCTTTTGCTTTTCCTTAGACAACCAATTTCAAGAAATCTTATGCGTTTTGTTAAGTTTGTAGCATGTCCATCTGAGGACACTTGTGATCATTGGTAATCAAGAGAACCTGTTTAGTATTGGGGTGTGTGGACATTGGTTATCAGGGCAAGTCACTGCCTCCATCGGACTGAATCTGAATGTCGTATTTGAAATGCATAATATTAATGCCCATAGATGGGGTACACACCAGTGACTATTTCTAGTACATTGGTTTACATGCCCATGTCAAATACTGATGATAAGTGGGTCTCCAAACCATGACAGATTTTTACAAGATTTTGTTTGGGTAGAGATATCGCACATCTGTCAGTTGGGACAGCATATCTAGCTTTGCAGCGCAAACTGTTTAATTGAAATATAAATGCATCATGGTGTGTTCCATGCAAAACAAACTGGATAAGATGCAAGAAAATTATCAAATCTCATGAAAAGTGGTGTGGTAGTGAATAAGGTGAACAAAATATTTTCCTTCAACAGGACAATGTGCTACCTAATTTGGGACACGATTTTATCTGCTGCCAAAGACTTGCTTGACATTTTTGCCATGGTTTGCATACCAGATGGTAGATAGCCCTTTTTATGACTGTTTGTCCCAGCATGCAGAGCATGGTAGATTTTGCTGAGATCTCATTGGGGCTTAATTGGGACAAGTCTTGAAACTTAGTGTTTGGTATGTAGCAGGAGTTCATTGGTTGCAGTAGCTCATGGTACTGTGGGGCTAGCCATAAACTGGTGCAGAAATTCAGTGGTACCAAAAGACAAAACTTTGTTGCTTTAAAAATGAAATGGGGTTTCATTCATGAAGACTGCAGCTGGAAGGCCTAGTGCATCATATTTGTCTTGACCATATCATATTGTGTTTTTCACTGTCATTACAACCCTATACTATTAACCCCTGTGCTAATTCACTGTTTTTCATAAACAAACTGGTGGGGAGGTGGGTTAATATGATCCCCAATGCCTTTTCCAAACTAATGAAGATTGAGATAAGCAGAAAACATCAGAGGATTGGGCTTGACAAGATCTTATGCTTGATGATAGTTGTATGTTACTAGGCCAAGAATTAGTCCCCTTATGCCTGGTCGAAGGTCACATTTTCCAGAAAATCACACTAAGCTTTACATCATACGTGAATGGCTGTGCCTTGTAGCAATACTAAGCCTAAATAGGTGTGCTCGTCGGTCAGTTATGAATAGGGTGGTGTATTGTTATATGTGTTGAGCACATATGGCTCTGATTATGTAACAATGTTGGCCCGCTCCATGCTGGCATTGACTGACATCATTCAAAGCTTTCTGCAGCCCATGCCTGCTGGCCCAGCCAGCCTAGCTGTAGATCACTGTGTTGAAAACAAGAGGAAGGAATGCCTCATGGCTTACCAAAATTTGAGTGCAACTGCACCACATGGCGGAGAGGTATCTTAAAAAACCTTGCAGGTGGCATTACTCTCTCCTATCAGAGCAAGGGTTAGAATGTAATGTTACACTGTTGAAGATTATATATATATATATATATATATATATATATATATATATATATATATATATATATAATAGTGTGCCTCTGACTCATCCCAAGCTGAGAAGTAGGGGTATGTGTTGGTTTGACAAGCGCAGGTTAGATGGTCAGTAAAATATTGTACACTTCCTGCACCTTTAAATCATTAGCTCCTATCCCAAGCAGAGAAGTTGGCTGCCCCTCATCCATCAGGATCAGTCCTGCTACAAATATCTAATGGAGTCATCTACCACCTTTTGCAGATTGACATTTTTTTTTTGGCATTTTTCGTTTCAAACCATGTAGCATTGAATAATGTTTGTTTCAGCTTGTCCAACTGTTACTAATGCAATGCTAAAGACAGTTGGTTGTGGTTTGCACTGGGAACTATGAGCACAACTTAGAATGTACTTATCTTGTTTAGACAGTCCACATGCAATGTTCTCTCTGATCAAATTGCATGATGACATTGCTTGGATGGAGGCCGACCTGGCCTCTCTTCTTATAGCCCAAGGCGGAGACAGCAGGCTGAAGCTGGTCCAAGCAGAGGTGGCTCCCAACACTGTTCTATAGCAGACCTTCCAAAATCATGATCTTTGCAACTGATGTGCATGTTACAGACTGAGTTGCTGAGATACCAGGTTGTTGACATCACTGAATCATGCTGTTTCTGATTATCATTATGTCATGTGCTGTGCAGAAGTATTGTTTGAGCAGTTTTATTCTGAAAGGAGGAACCAATACAAATATCTGCCAGAGGGCTAGTCTGCAAACCATGGCAGATCTGGGTGAGATCTTGGAGCAGAGGTGGGGTACAACTTCAAGTAGGGGGCAGCTTATGAAAATTGGGCAACAGAGATTATTATGCTGGAGTATTGAGGGCATCACATGCCATACATATATGAGGGTTCTATGACACTTGTATGAAGGCTCTATGATGTACAAAATTGGTAATATCACAGAAAATAACAAAAGATGATGACAAATCATGTCTGTGGCATAAGTAAGGTTACCAAAATATGTCCCAACTGGGGCAGCCTGCTATCCTGTTTCGGGCAGTATTCTGTCTACCCTGAACATCTTGTTGGCATGTTTGCTGTGGTTTGCAGACTGGACAGAGGGTGCTGCCAGCTTTGGGATAATTCCCCAATCGAGCAGGTCTTGTGTAAGACTAGTTCTAGAGATAAAAAAGGATGACTTTTAGTACCTTAGGTCTGTTGGGTGTATGGGGTTTCCTGAAAGGAAAGGTAGAGTAGTTCCTTATAATATAAATGAGTTAGCATGGGCCTCATGTCACCATGTGCTGAAAATGAGTTTATGAATCATGGCTCCCTGCAGTTCTTATTTTAGCACTACCAGGCTAACACATGACTTTTACTGAAGAATAGGAAAGTATCGCTTTTAAGATTAATGAGATTGGAACAAAATGATAAGTTAGTTAATGTACAGCTCATACAAAATACAATAACCCCTAGATTAAACACTTTCAGGTCCCACCATTTTCTAAGTTTGTCTACTTGAACCAGGGTTGTATTACCTGTCATCATAAAACACTGAGAACTCAGCACCCCATCACAGGCAAGATTCTGGAAATGATAGGACTGCATAGAGCTGTATGTGACCAAACCCAACCTAGAACTGGATTTCTGCTTGACTGGCCTGCTTCACATTGAAAGTTAATTGGCCTGACTACAGATGTCAGGGAGTGGGGACATTCAGAAAGATTAACCGCACCCGTGACCAGCAAGGATGCAGCCTGGGGACGTTTGCAGTCAACCAGCAGACATTAGTGGTGGGCCTGTGACTAGGGTGGTGGTGATCAGCAGTCTCCATGTTTCAGGAAAGTACAAGACACAGCTGTTTGACCCGCGGACAGGTGGCTTTATGCAGACAAACCAGGGCATCGGGATGCACGTGGATGTGCGTGACCCCGAGGACAAGCCGATCCTCTCGAAGGTTAGCCACGGCGATAGGCTCAGTTGGACGCCATTCCCAGCACCAGATTTGGTGGTCTGTTGGTTAGATTGTTTTGGTATGCTTGTGTAGCATGAAGTGTGGCTTGAATGATTTACTGCTTTTGAAATTATTTTCATGTACTCGAACATTTGTTTTTGTGTTACTACAAAATGTTTTAACATGTTTTTCACACCTTTTAGTCATGATCTGAACCAAACCAGATTTCCAGAACATGTGTGTGAATCTCATTCAGGTTGATTGATTTGTGACTAAAGCACCACTTCATCTACATTAGAATAACGCGACCCAGGGAAAAATCCCGTCAAATACTCATGTTTTTTTATTTTCGGGTCCGTTTCCACTGGTCGTCATTTACTGTCAACATGGATGCGGCTCAGTGACTTGGGAAGTCCAGGCTCCCGAGGCTGCGCTGTCGCCTTCGAGGACCCGGTCACCGCCGCCCCATTGCCGCGGGACGACCGCTGCCAGTCGGGGAGGATGGCGCGCTCTCCCTCTCTCTCTACCTGTCTCCCTCTCTGACCCGTGACGGTCGTGCGTCGTAGGTGTACTCAGCCGAGGGCACCTTCACGTTCACCTCGCACACGCCCGGCGAACACGTCATCTGCCTCTACTCCAACAGCACCAAGTGGTTCGCTGGCTCGCTGCTGGTGAGTGGACGCAGCGTGTTGGGTCGGGCCCAGACAGGGCGATGCGAGGACACGGCGATTGGTAGTTATGTCGCGAGGGAGTAACTTACCTGGCTCCAGTTGTGCAGACAGAAGAGGGTAGCGATGTGACGATGCGATAGGGGCATGCTGCAGATCACGATGTTGCGGAGGGGCTAGTTATGCAAACAGAAGAGAAAGCATTGTGATGATGTGGCAGGGCATGTTGCAGATCATGTTATTATCTCGTAGAGGATTGTCAGAATCATATTATTGTGTCGCACTGCTAATGAAGGACCATGTGCTATTGTCCTGATGCCCTCCATTGGGCGGCGAACTGAGGCATTTAAACGGCGGCAGACGGTGGCCTTGCTGACTGACGCGACCCCTGCGCCTGCAGCGGGTGCACCTGGATATCTCGGTCGGCGACCAGGCGGTGGACTACGCCAACGTGGCCAAGCGGGAGAAGCTGACTGAGCTGCAGCTGCGCGTCCGCCAGCTGCTGGACCAGGTGGAGCAGATCAGCAAGGAGCAGAACTACCAGCGCGTGAGTTAATGGCTGTACCAGTCCAGGCCACCTGTCCTTGATGGCGGCGGTGACACGCGTCCGAGGGACGCTTTCGCTAGATGACGGCATTCCGCCAGCCTGAGCCTGTTCGCTGGGGGCGCCTAGTAAGTCGGTGAGGAGCATTTGAAGGGGGATTTGTTGCTATTTTTCTCTTCACTGAGGCTGTTGCGAACGTAATTTGGGCGTTCGTTCGGTGTGTCTTTCCTAGATTGAGATTGTTTCAGTCTGTTGATAAATGACAGCTGCGACTTGACTTGAGAGATATAATGATGCCTGTTGCCAAAATCGGTTGGCAAAGGGTGTAAGTCTGTAGCTTATGCCTGAGTAAACTTCACTAGCTTTGTTTTGCTGATGTTATATGCTATTTCGGCCTTAAAGTTGGATCAGGCAGAACGCAACTGCACTGGTTCTAAATCTCGGGCACTCATACACCTTGAATAAAGCTGCCATACACCATCCCTTATCGTCATTCAGTCTGGTGTCAGGCAACTTGAAAGTGGTGCAATCATTTTTAGACTGCCGCAGCACAACACAGAGGTAGCAAAACTTCTTGCCAAAAATGTGATATGCTTGTCCGCGACCCTACACTATGCGCTATCCATATATGGTGTACATTAAGGTAGTTTAAGACACCTTTGGCTAGGGGGACTAGCATGGATTTACTCCCATTCTTAAGTTTGTTATCTAAAACCTGGTAAAACCCGGAATGCTATCATGGATGTTAAATGCAGACAATCTTACAACTTATCCTCCAATCTGATTTTCGTACTGAGTCGTGGATGCAAACACGGTATCACCAACTCTCCTGGTGAGTGGTGCACGTGACACAGCCGCGGGCAAACGCTAACGGGGTGTTAACCGTGCTATGCACGTGAGTGGGCCGCGTTGCAGATGTTAGTATGCAGTCGGTTCTGCATTGTTTGGCCGTCTGGCCCCGAGTTGTACGGTCCTCGTCTGTCTCCCACTCTCTGATCTGTCTGGCCTGTTCCGTTGGCTATCGGACCGTCTGACCTGGTCTGACCGTGTCACCGTCTGTGTCTGGCCTGACGTCTGACCCACCGCCGCCGCCGCCGTCAGTACCGCGAGGAGCGCTTCCGCACCACCAGCGAGTCGACCAACGGGCGCGTGCTCTGGTGGTCGCTGGCGCAGACCTGCGTGCTGCTCGCCATGGGCTACTGGCAGATGCGCCACCTCAAGTCGTTCTTCGAGGCCAAAAAGCTGGTGTAGGCCGGCCGGCCGCGCGGAACGCTCGTGATAGTGGGGCGCGTGCGCGCGCTCACTCGCGCCACCGCCTCGCCGCCGGTCGCGGCGGCCAGAAGGAACAAACGGCGCGGGACTCGCGCCGCAGGGACGCAGAGGCGCACCGCCAGGCGGCGCTGCAGTCGTGTGACCCGGGACCGGCGGCCGGCCGTGCGGCCCGCGCGCAGCTGATGCCATCTGCAGTGCCGAACTGCAGTGCCCGCGTCCGGCCAGCTCCGGTATGGTTGCTTCGGGTGTGAATAGCCAATGGCCATGGTGAACGGGACAGCTGCGTTTGACGTTGAGCTGGCTGAGAGCCGCGTGGTTGAGTTGTCTCTTTCTGGTGGGTGGTTGCGTTTTCTTGCGTGCTTTCTCCTGGAAAAGTTGCGGAAATGTGAGCTTACGGCGCTGTCAGCATCGCTACGTTCGGAAAGCGGCCCGTTCACTTTGTTTGAAATTTGTGAGCACGCTCCTCTCGAGTCAGCACACTGTCTGTCTGCTGTGCGTGACTACCATTCGTCAGCTCCCCGTTGCCCTTCGGGTTGTGGCCGTGGAGACGGGCATGCCGATTTACGTTTTGCTTGGCTGGCTGGGGTCGCTTGCCAGGCGTTCAGTGCTGGTGAGGTGCCGTTACAATGAGAAATGCACTACGTGGTGTTCAGCACTTTTACATAATATATCGACTCGAATTCGGAATCATCGTGTGGTGTGCCGTGCTCCACCGTGTGGGTTCCGCGGGTCGCCTTGACATGCCGATGGATGGTTGACTTTGGAGAGCTGTGCCGGGACGGAGAACGCTGACAAGGTCAGGTAGCCTTTAGTTCTCCACCGCCATGGCTGGCTGCTACCCAAGACACCGCCAGCTGTTGACGATGTGCTCTCTGCGATCTGTGTTGAAGACAGCACAGGCGCGTCAGTTGCGTGTTTGTGTGTAGGCTGTGTCTATCCTATTTACATATGGGGCTTAGGACTGTCAGTTTATTACATCACGCATGAAAGGGCACGGGTATTGCTGGAAATGGCCGAAGCGTGAGAACGAGGTGTGGTGGAGGCGCAACATTACGCTCAAGTGTGGTAACAAAGCACGCCAAGGTGTCTAAATATTTTGGGAACTCAAAGCCGAATGACTAGCAAAGATCTCGATCTCAAGCAAGAAATCTCAGGAATAGCAACGCGCCTGTCTGTTTGGCACCTGCAGCTCCATTGGGGCCCCAAATGGACTTTGCTCTTTTCTCACGTTACAGTGAACCCAGCGTAGCCCTTGTGAGGAGAGGTCGCCCAGCGTGATAAGTGTGTAAACAGGGGAAGGTAGGTGGAAAATGGACCCGAGTGCTTAGTGTAGTAAATCGGTGGCCTCCTTATCATCCAAAGGGGGGGGGGGGGGCTACACAGAAGATACATTGCCAAATTTCTGATATAGACCACTACCATTCCTAAATGACGTATTTTGTCTCCTTGGAGTAGTCCACATCACAAGCAAGTTGAATACGTAACAATGCGTAGAATATTGCAACATGACCTTTCTGAGCGTTAGGCAGATGCAGAAGGTTTCATATTCCGAAGATCAATGCTCAAACGACGCAATGCATACATTTGGGCATGCGCGAGCTAGTATAAACGAAGCACTTTGTCACGTAGCTTCTATCTAGCTGGCTTCTCACCACGTGGTTTCGCGCACCGGTCTTCAGACGCTGGGCCCCAAGTTCACGGCCGGCTAGAGGCAACTCATTGAAGTGATGGCATAGCTATAACGCCTTCCAGACCCGGGTCGTACCCATCGCGAGTCAATCACCGTCTATTGGTAGGATGGTGAACGTCATGCATGATAGTTAGGACATAAGGTTGCGGGCGGGTTACTTGGTTCCTTTGTCATTTTCTTGGGAGTATCCCACCTTTGGGGTATATTTCAAAAACATACTGTGGTGAAACCTCAGAACCATCTGCGTCCCAGAACAGCGCTGGGTAGTGCCACAGGCGTAAGAACGTTTCAAAGAGTGGGGGGGGCGGGGGGGGGGGGGCGAAGCTCAGGGCGCTGCCTGCTGCCCCGGAAAGCTGCCTGCCTTAGATCTGAATTGGCCCAACGGACATTCCACTGCCCGCCATTCAACGCAGACGACTTAATCTGTTTTTGCGTGTAGGCAGGGGCGTAGCCAGAGCCTTGCCAAGGGGAACACAGGGTGGACAAAAGTCCCTGTTATGGTGAGACCCCCCCCCAAAAAAAAAAATCCGGGTATAGTTTACTTGTTAACAAGGAACACAGTTATTTTGTTCTTTGTTATTTTTCCTTGTAATCAGAGCAGAAACCAGAGGTTACCATGGGATCAACTCTGTTTTTATTTTGAAGTCAATCAAGTACAGAAATCAGGCGCTGAACGACCGCTTGGGATAAATCGCCGGCACCCTTGATCCACAACGGTTTGGTGGACTCTTTCTACACCGATAAAATCCAAAACCTTCGTCAAAATTTTTTATCTGTGTTCTACAGACCTTAACAACATCGTGAAGGTAGCTTGGATCGACATTTTTGATTCAAATTTGAAGATGAAAGTTTGATTGGAGATCGAGTGGTCAACAATGTGTGTCATCGAGTGATCAACAAACATCGTCGAGCCAGTTTCGTCTGGAGATGTTCACCATTCATTCAGAATCGATTAGTGATGCAATTACATTAGGTCGTTTTTTACCATGAGCGCTCGGAAGTCTCAGCAACAAAGCATCGACACTAGGCGTTGCAGTCTCCATTATTCGCGGAGCGTTATCCCAGCGGTTAGCTTTTAGCCTTAGCCCAACGGTGGACAAAAATGATGACGCTTCTGAAATAATTACCTACTTTTAAACACTTTAATCGATAAGTAATACAAGTTATGTGACATAACTTTGAACATGCGCACTCTAAAATCTTAGAAAAAAACCTCGACTTGCGTTCTCCGTAAGCCGCGCAGCGTCTGCCCAGCAGCTAATACCGAGCCATGGCCAACGGGTGGACAAATATGATGGCGATTCTGAAAGAAGTATCTTTGAACACTTCATGACATCACATCTTACATTAAGAAGGCAGTCTGGGCGCACATAGCATGTGCACGATTTTAAGACTGATGATAGGAACGGATTCACCTTTAAAGCACCGCGAATTGGGGCTGAAATCTGCGGTTGAACTGGAAGAGTAAAATATAAAAAATTCGTTTTTCGTGTTCCTCTAGCTATTAGTCTGCCCAGAAGACAGATTAACACGGCGCCCGCCGTTTGGTCGCACTTGCAGTGGCCGAAGCCGTTCGGTTTTACGGAGCAGCCCAGACCATCTGCTTTTGAGGTTGCGTGCGGGCGCGTTCAAACTTTTGATGTAATTTGTTTTACTAATCCATTCTGAAAAATGAACATTCTCAGGCATACATGGGATGGCCTTGTTCGTTTCTTAAAGCCCATTTTGACCAATTCTATTCAACAATAATGAGACCCCCACTTTACTCAACAATGTGACCCCTTATTTCCGTCCAAGCAAGAGTTGTTTCCAAGCAAGCATCCAAGCAAGAGTTATTTCCATCCAAGCAAGATTCCTTGAGTTGAACACCCGGGACACCTTAGCGTTTCCGGCCAAGGGCTGAAGGGCCATTCCGCCCCATCGCGAAGTATCTTCTAGCTATCATTCTGGCGACACGGAACATGATCTCCTGGTTCATCCGGAGGCCATTATAAGGATATATCATATCGCATTGCTCCCCTCCCTGATTCGGGAGGCCTTCTGGCCCGCGCGGTTGGCACCGGACCAGCACAGGAACCCTCATTGAAGGAACACATCCCTGATCGACGCCAATGGTATAATAATTGTAAAAAAAACTCCAGTTCCAGCTTTTTCTACGCTTTTTTGAAATTTTGAGGACCCCTAAAAGTAGATCGTGGATCGAAATAAAGTCCCAAATTTGTATTGACATATCCAACCCATGTTCACCTTAAAATATCCCAAATTCAGTCAACTTGAATGACTGAGAAAAATTACGTAATCTGGTTTTGAACATGCGCGCCTGCAAATCTTAGCAAAAACCGCGTCGACTCCCAGCGTTGCAGTTTCCATAGGCCGCGCGGCTGTGATATTAAACGACGGCCAATGGGCAAACGAAAAACATGACGCATCTTCAGGGAGATGGCTGGTGAACTAGGCAAATCAGCATGCATGTTTATGGTAGTACAAAAGTAAGCTAAACGCGACTTAAGTCTGACAAAGCGAGGGCCAGCCAACATTTCTGCCCCCATCTTGAAAACGGGGGGGGGGGGGCATGACACCCCTGCCTTCCCCCTTGTTCCTGCACCCACGCACAATACCAGGAGACCCGTTCCCAGAACAGCGCTGCCCACCCTGCAGCCGGCTCGGCGCCGTCACTGTTGTGTGTGCATCCGGCGTGTGCGCCGTCCGCCGGATGTCATCTGAGCCGTCCCGGCGGCGCGGCCTCCCTGTAACCGGCGCGGCCTCCCTGTAACCGGCGAGGCCTCCCTGTAACCGGCGAGGCCTCCCTGTAACCGGCGCGGCCTCCCTCCAACCGGCGAGGCCTCCCTCTAACCGGCGAGGCCTCCCTCCAACCGGCGAGGCCTCCCTCCAACCGGCGCGGCCTCCCTCCAACCGGCGAGGCCTCCCTCCAACCGGCGCGGCCTCCCTCGATTTGGCGCGGCTTCCCTCTAACCGGCACAACCTCCCTCCAACCGGTGCGGCCTCTCTCCAACCGGTGTGAACTCCCTCTAACCGGCACGGCCTCCCTCTAACCGGCGCGGCCTCCCTTCAACCGGCGCGGCTTCCCTCTAACCGGCGTGGGCTCCCTCTAACCGGCATGGCCTCCCTCTAACCGGCGTGGGCTCCCTCTAACCGGTACGGCCCCCCTCTAACTGACGCGGCCTCCCTCTAACCGACGCAGCTTCCCTCTAACCGACGCGGCCTCCCTCTAACGGTGCGGCCTCCCTCTAACCGGCGCGGCCTCTCGCAAACCGACGTGGCCCGACAAAGGGCCAGCGCTACCGGACCAACGCTCAACCCGACTGCGCCGCTCCCCCACCGTTTATCACGGGCACTAAAAACCCAGCTATCCGGACGAGTGCCGGTCGAAAACGGAACAATTTTCCGTCTCATCGCTGCCATACACGCCGAGCCGTGCTCAGCTATTCATTCGTTATCAAATAATAGGCTTTATGACCTGGCTGGGCGGCGATTTATTTCACATTCATGGCTTGCTTCAAGTCGAAATTTGCCACGCTTGCGGTCCACCTGGTAGCCTGTAATGACAAATAGATGTAGCCCTGGTGGTAATGCGAGTGATTCCTTTGGCTGGTTAGTGCCGTGACGGCGTTGGGCCGCCGCCGCTCGGTCCACAAAGGCACCGCCGTGCGCGCCGGGCCGGTCCCCATAGACAGCAGCGACTCATCCTCTTGAGCGACATTGTCACGCGGCCCCCGGACACGCCGAAAATATGTCCGCCATGTCGCAACGGGCGGCGTGATTTTCCGCTTCCTCTCTCGCTCTGCGGCGCGGCGGCGGCAGCTGCAGCGGCGCGGCAGCGGGCCGCCAGCTCGCGCCGGACCGGCCGGCGGACTGACCGAGGACACGGGCCCGCTGTGACAGAGAGCATCTCGTGTCGAGCTGTGTTCTCGTCTGGCGCACGGCTGCGGAGGCCGCTTGTGTAGCTGCGCTCACCACCTTGGTGGTCTTAAGTTAGAGTCT